TTTCCCACAAATCAAAAAAAAGTACAGCACCATTATTATTAATTTTCCCAATCTTTCCCTCTTCTCCCAAGTCAAAAACCCAGAAACCTTGCTGCCATGCATATTACGATACAAAATAAATGATAAAAATGGATTCAGTTGAGTGCGAGAACAAATGACGAGTGTTCTCACATTTTTATTTTTTATTTTTTTTTTATTTTTATTACGTATCTAATTTTTACAGGCCAGGTCATATGCTTAGAAAAAGTATGGGTTAAGATAAGAGTTCGGATTCCAACTTTCAAAATACACGGACTTCGTATTTGGTAAGATTTGAACCCTAAACCTTTAAAATATATGGTAACTTGATACGAATTAAATGAATGAATAAGTGACAAGGAAAAGAATTGACTAATTGCTAAGGGCTTGTTTGACATTGTTTTTTGTTTTTTGTTTTCAGTTTTCAGAAAACAAGAAAAAGGTTTTTGGATCTTTTACCAAAATAACTACTTTTACAAAAATATTTACCAAAACGGCTAGTTGTAAATTTTAATTCCAAAAATAGCTAAAATATTGACTTGGAAGGAAATTATTTATTTCTTATTTGCCTTTGAACCGGTTTGGTTCACCTTTTTTTTTTTTTTTGTGTGTGTGTGTATTTTTGGGTTTATTTTAATTTATTTTTAGGGTTTTTTTAGTTGAAAATTTTAAAAGCTATATACAGATATACGTAAAGTCGCTCATAAGAAACCCTAATTTCAAGATCACACACAAAAAAAAAAAAATCCAATTTTTTTTGTCTTGATTGTATCACAAAAACATTGGAATTTGAAGTAGTATTGTTCTAGCAACACAAACGCAACTTTATACGACGATAAGGGATTTTAAGATATTGTTTATCTTTTTCATGTTCGCTAATTGTATGCTCTCTGCTAATATCGGCTAATTTTTGTTAATTGGAAGTTTGGAGTAATTTTCTGAGTGATTTTTTTAATTTGTGTAACTTTATATTGAGAATTGAGAATTGTTGCAAATATATTAGGTTGAATGTTATTTTTCAAATTAATGGATATTTTAAACTTTGGCTTTAGAATTTTCCAAAAAAAAATTAAAAAAAAAACAAAATTTTTAAAAAACCCAAAAAACAGGGAATGTGGGCAAGCCGGAATTTAAATGTCATATACTACGTACAAAAGGCTTTTAAATTCTCCAACTACAAAAATAAAAAAAAAAAAAAACGAAGCAAAATTTAAAATAAATCGAAAAAAAAAACCCCAAAATAGTAAACCTTTTCGGTATAAGAAATAAATAATTTCCTTCCAAGTCAATTATTTAGCTAATTTTGGAATTAAAATTTATCATTAGTCGTTTTGGAAAATACTTTTGTTAAATCAGCCATTTTGGTAAAAGATCCAAAGTTTTTTCCACTTTTCAGTTGTCAGTTTTCAAAATTATCATGATTTTAATAAGTTTAACTAATTTTTGATTAATTATATGACATATATCATATGATTGATTTTGAAAACAAAAAACCAAAAAACAGAAAACCACAACGATACCAAACGAATCCTTGAGCTTGTTTGACTTCGTTTTTTGTTTTCAGTTTTTTGTTTTTTCGAACATAAAATAAAAAAACTAATCAAAAATTGGAAACAAGAAAAAGATATTTTCATTTTTTAGTTGCCAGTTTTCGAAATTATCATGATTTTAATAAGTTTGACTAAGTTTTTACATAGCATATATCATATGATTTTGAAAAACAAAAAACCAAAAAACAGAAAATCACAATGATACCAAACGAAAAATCCGTTAGTTGTCCAGGTTGCTAGCATTGCACTATATGTTAATGTTGCTTTGTTGTCCCTAATGATATAAAACTTGATACAGAGTACGTTGCATCCAAGCAGTAGTCATTTGTTAGTTTGATAATCTTGCGTTAGTTAGCGATGTTCTTATTGAAAAGATATACGAATTACAATTAAGTCAGTCTTTAGACATAGTAGTATAAATGTAAAATGCTCTGACTCCATATATTTTCACTGGATAATCACAAATTGTAGCTGATTAGTAAATCCATTAGCTTGAAATGAACATAAATTTTTAGTTATTTCATGGGAAAAAAAAAGGGAATTTTAACCCACAACAAGAACATCGATCAATATAGATCATTGAGCCAATAATGTCAAATGAAAAAGAAGAACATCGAAGAATCTCAAATCAAACAAAAGGCGGCATACTTTGTAGAGTTTATAACTAGTGCAAATTCGAGTGTTGGCGATGAGAAAGTCGGTAAAGATTAACCGGAAAAACTTCGGTCCTGTCACGAGAACCGTAAACCTTAGCTGCTATGATAGCGCACGCAGATTCTGTGTAATGATTGATATCAAAAAATGCATAGTGTTTACGACCATCGCAGGTGGTGCCATTAACTTTGCATGACGATCCATTTGATAAAAGTTCACAACATGGATCATTCACATTGCTCAAATCTACGCACAATTATTTTGAATTACCAAAACAACTCATCAAGTGTGTATAATCTTGTAACATAGTGCCATATAGGATAAGAAAAAATTGTAGTAGGCCAAATATTTCTTCAAAAGCTACAATTTTCGGGTTTTTGTAAAGGCTATTTCCAATGCTATACGTCGCAAATTAATTTTTAACATTTGACTTTTTAAGGTTAATATTGTAAACTTTGAACTACATATGTATCTAGTCTCCAAGCTAGCTAGAGTATGCGTAGCATAATAAATTAATAAGATAAGGCAATATTACGTAACATCATTGTTTAGAATAAATAAGACTTATTTGAGACAGAGATTGTACTAACTACATGTTGATGAATTCGCGTTGTTTATAATATCCGTGATGACTTTAACATAATTGAGAATTATAAATTCTGAACCAGGCAATTCGTGTTTCATTTGTTTAACCTTGGAAATCGACTGATCGTAAAATACAGATATGTAGGCATCTAGTTCTGGTAAGCATCCTTTGCCTTTTCTTACTATAGGGATGTAGCAATAGAAAATTCTTAGCTCCGGCCTTGTATAATCTCTATGAATATCAAATCACCAAATAACATAGGAAAAAATGATAATTAGACAATAATCGACAAATATTCCTCCCTTCCAAAATTAATTGTCATAGTTAAAGTGAAACACAATATATGAAGTATATAACTTACGAGTATGAACTAGTAATGGAACATTTAAATTCTGCGCATACAAGCAGATTGAATAGTAATACAATTTTATGGTTTATGGACATTTTACGCACCTTGAGTTGAACAGAATAAAACGTGATAAGATTTGCAGCAAAGGCTTCGGCAGATTGAGAAGATTGAGAACCGCTTTCGGGGGAAATTAATAAATGAAAAGCGTAGTATTGTTTCCAGCAGCTACCAAAAATAGATAATCAGGGAGTATCTTATCCCTTTGACGTCTCAACCGGCTTTCTAATTTTGGCAAGGTCACTTCTTCAAAGTTTGTGATTTGCTCATGTAAAGAGATCACCTTTCCCTGTTTTATTCATAAGACAAATGGAGAATTGAATTGAGTTTGTGAGTTCTTCTGTTTGTGTAATTACTATTCCTAAGTTGACTCGATGTTTACTTAAACCGAACCCAAAAAGACAGACATACTACAAATAATTCGTCTCAAATTAATTAACCTATCCTAAACAAACTCGTTTGCATATATATATATATATATATATATATATATATATATATATACGGGGAGGTTCCGCTAAAAACAGGGCTTATGGTGAAAACTAAAAACAGAAAATCTCAACCATCCATTATTACTAACAAGATCTAACGGTTTAAAAAAAATAAAATAACATAGAGTCACTATATATAAAAATAACGTAACTATATACAAAAATAGGGTAACTATATCAATTTTTACAACATTTGTCACTATATACAAAAATAGGGTAACTATATCAATTTTGATCCTATTAATAGAAGTCACTATATACAAAAAAAGGGTAACTATATCAATTTTGACCATATTTACATAGAAGTCACTATATACAAAAATAGGGTAACTATAACAATTTTTACAACATTTACATTAAGGTCACTATATACAAAAATAAAGTAACTATATCTGAGTTTTTGACACCATTTACATAAAGGTCACTATATACAAAAATAAAGGTCACTATATATAAAAATAAGGTGATTGAACCAAAATTTACAACATTTCCATAAATCTAAGGTCATTATATCGAAAATAAGGTAACTATATATACATTTCGGGTAATTATATATATCAATTTGACACCATTTACCCAGAGGTCAATAAATATAAAAATAAGTATTAAAAAAGTCTATGTAGGATTCGAACCTACATCCCGTGATTACACAGTGCTCGACCAATTGAGCTAATAGGCTTTCAACATGCCAAAAACGTAGAGGCTTAAAACCAACACATATTTTAGATTCATAAACATATTCACTAAAGTCAAGTACCTTTACCAGAGTTTTCAAGCAGATCACATACCCTTCCAAAGTTGTGGGTCTAAAAGCAGACACTTCAGGATTCATACAATCACTTTCAGGAAAAATCTCCGGAGCCTCATCCAACTTGTCATTACCACTAGTAACTTCTTTTTTTTGGTTGAAAGGAGGCCAAAGGTATGTTGATATCAAGTACAATCCAAACCATGCAAGCTTCAGCAATTAAGTGGCGCATATTCCCAGCTGCAAGTGAATGTAATAAACGAATCATCAGCAACAATTCAAACTCACATGTGGCATCAGCAAAGCATATGCAGTTTTTGTGATAATAGATCACTAGTAGATATTCTGTCTGTATTGTTGGACGTTTTTATATATATATATATATATGCTTCTAAGCAATTTGATTTAATCCATTTTACAGTGGACAATCAATGTATACTGACACCCACACAATCAAGTTGAGCCAATCATGTAACAGCTCTAAGTAGCTCTAAGAATTGTTTATTGATCAAGAATGTATCATACAAAGCCACATAATTTAGACCCAAATATTTTTAAGGTATACGAAGTATGTCTCTACAAGAAATTTGCTTCAAATCAACATTTCAGAATAACAGCAAAAAGAAAAAAGAAGAGTGTTCGAGACAAATAATCAGAAAGAATATCACACAAAGAACACAAAAGTATCACACCTGCCAATTATGTGGAATAAGCATGCAGTCCAAATGAACGCATTCCAAGTGTCCAAACAAATCATGTTGATTTCAGGCAGAAATTTGAGAATTTAGAAAAGCTTGCAGGAATGATAACATCATCAATTTTTAGCCGAAGGTGTTCTTGGGCTGTTATCCTCATGTTTTCAGCAGCCTTTTCATGAAAAAGATAGATTCTTCTGAAATTAATAAGGCTGTATCCCATGAAAGCTTATTAACTATCTAGCAAGAGAAAAATTCATATACCTTTGGGGCTGCTTGGGCAGATTTCCATAATATTGCAACGCATGCTTCAGGAATGTCAAAAGGGAAATAATAAGGTAAGCATGTATTGGAAAATGATGAAGGAATTTGAATAATAATAAGAAACCAAAAATAGACAATAGATGCGAAGAAAACCTAGCAACATAGAAAGCAGGATTCTCAAGCATAAACAATTTATTGCAGCAACAGATGGCCAGAGCTCCCCCAAAACCACCTTCACCGGTGACTATTGAGATGACAGGAACTCTCAGTCCAAACATAGACCTTATGTTTTGAGCTATAGCTTCACCCTGAGCTCAGAGAGACAAATCATTTCATCCTCATTACCACAGGTTTAGTCAATATAAACTTGAAATAAACTAGTAGTTGTCTACTCACCTGACCAAGTTCCTCAGATTTGAGATCAGCATAAGCTCTTGGCGTGTCAATAAGTGTAATTACGAGAAAACCATGATGATCGGCATACTTCAATTTTCTGTCTCCTTCACATGTAGAAATCTGTTTAATATTTGCAATGGAAGCCTCAATATATGCAATGGAAGCCTCTTTATAAAGCCTTAAAAGTACTAAACATAAAGAAAATATAATCCAAGAAATTATACAATTTCACCAAGTTCAGCTTGCTAGTTCCCAAAAATGTAACCCTATTTCTCATCTTTACTCTGCATCAAAATGCAAGGCAGTACAATCACAAGAAACAGATGCTAAACTACTCGAATTCCCCCATGAATCCGTGACAACAAACCGACCAAGCAAAAGGCACAATGAAGAGCTCAAGATTGCTCTAATCCCCCAATTTTACATAAATTCAAGGGTCACAAACTCACAATACATGACACATAAAATCTAAAAACAATTAAATGCTTGAATCGACAAAATTCGCATGCTATTCAACAAATTTCGAATCCAAACAACAATTTATATTTCATAACAAAAACATTCGAGCAATTAACTAGAAATAAACCCTAGATTGTGAAATTGATAGTCGATAATTTAAGAAATACTACCTGAGAAGCCGCTTCAATGGAGAAGAAAGCTCAAACTCGCTTCAATGGAGGATCGAGAAAGCTCAAAACTCGCTTCAATGGGATGAATATTCAGCGACGAAAATGATTAACTCACATAATTGATTGTTGAAACGCAAAACTCACTTTTCAGGTTTAATTTTGAAGCTAAAGACGAAATTGATGAAGATTGAAGCAAATTATTGATGAAGATTGAAGCAAATTCCTCTGAAATTTGATGATTTTTTGGGAGAAGGATAGAGAACCAGTGATATCGTGAGATTGAAGAAAGATAAAAATAGAGCAGAGAGAATGGACGGTCAAGATTACAAATAACGCGAATGTAATCTAATCCGTCAGATGAAAATTCAATGGTCTAGATCATCTGTTTTCAGTTTTCAGCTTTAGGTTTGTTTTCACATGATCCAATCTCTCTCTCTCTCTCTCTCTCTCTCTATATATATATATATATATATATATATATATATATATATATATATATATATATATATATATATATATATATATATATATATATATATATAAGTTTAATTAATTATATTACCAAAATTGCGCCGGTTTCATTAAGGATGCCGGAGCCACGAGAACCGAAGTTGACACCGTAAAGGATTGAATCCCCTTGAGTTTGAGTATTAGCAAAGGAAGGAATCAAAGGAAGCTTAAGATGATCACCAATTAAATCAGCAATATTCTTCCCATTTGAGAATCTTCCTGTTGCTTTTGTTGGACCAACATTAAAATCAATACCATATGGTAAAAAATTGGCTTTGGACGTACTACCATTTAGGTTGTTATTGTTTCCATTGTCGACTACTGGGCTACCAAAGATGAACATTCCCTTAAACCCGCCTCCGTTTCTAGGCTTGTTACTTGCACTGCAAAAACAACTTGAAATAACGCCACCTATCGCTTTGCCGAACAACTTGAAATATTCTACGGCATAATGGAAGAGGATGGGTACTAGTGCCGATGTCTATTGCCGAGGACAGAATTCATCGCCCCCCACCTGGATATATTGGGGTTTATACTCGGCAGCTGCAGTACGGGCGTTGGTTTCCCGTCCATTCCTTTGTAATCAAGGTGCTGAATGGGTACAACATCTCGTTGTCTTAGCTGAACCCCGTCAGTATCCAAAGGATAATGACCTATCTTTGGGTCTGCCTGTGTTTACGAGCTTGAGCCGAGTGTGCACTGCTTCCGCTACATGCACAAGCTAATCTGATGCCGAATAAGCAGTCCAACAAATGGCATGGCCCTGGTTGTTGGCAAATTGAAGATTAGAGGGGGTTCCTTTCTACCTATCTGAATGATACTTTGGATAAAGACTGGAGAGACCAATGGATCTGGGTTCGGGCGCCGTCAGACGAGGATCATCCAAATTTCTTCGGCGGACCCCGATACTTGAGGAAGCCCGATCCGAAGATGTTCAGCATCGGGCCTGATGAGTTTTCTGATGCCGATCTGAAACAGATGGAGCTCTTTGGCATGAGCCACATGCCTGGGGCCATAGGCCAAATGGAAAATGTGCCTATCATCTGGCTGCCTTGCTACCACTATACCTTCCAGGACTCGGCTGGGGCCAAAAACTTTATTGTTTTTTGTTATTTTCTGCCTTCTGATGCTTATTTCTCTCGGCCAAGCTAATCGTTGTTCTTTGTTTTTCCAGAGCCGTACGAAGAGAACTCAGGCGTTGATTACGAAGTGCTAGGGATTAGTCAAGAGAGGAACCCGATCACCAACACCCCCAAAATCACTGATTACAGGGATCAGGCCCTTTCCCTGCACCAGAAGAGGCTTCAGGTGGTCAGCGCTGTTGAGTATCAGGCGCAGAGACCTTGGTTTGAGAAGGTCGACCACTACTTTCTCCACTCAGCCAAAGAGCAAGCAGCTGCAACTATCGCTGCTGAGGCCTTCAGAAGCGGAGCTGGGCCTTCTACTCCTGATGTTGAGTCGAGAGTAGAGGAATTTGAAGAAAAAGAAGATTCCGAAGACGCTCGTCTGTTAAAGACTTTGGTGAGCCTTTGGACTTGTCTGAATTTGCTTCTTCTTTCTTTGTTTGTTGGTTTTTTTTTTTGAACTTATGTGACTCTTTGCCCCCTTGTTCTTTCTTCTACAGTCCGACGAAGATGAAGAACAAAGGAGAGCCAGCCGAGGCTGCTCAAGTAAAGTCAACTTCGGACGAATCATATTCATATGAAGAAATGGCTGGTCAGAGGAGGAGAAGAGTCGTCATCAACCCTGGGCAATTTCAAACTGCCGAGCCTGCTGCGTGCCAAGAGACCTCAGTTAGGTGAGGACCAGCCCGAGGTGATTAAAGAGAAGACTCTTCCTCCTGCCGAGGCTCATGCTGAGGAAAAGGTCCAAACAAAGACTCCTCCAGAGGTTCAAGTGGTCGACATTTCAGATGCAGCTCCTCCCTCTCCTCGGCACGTGGCCGAGGATTTTGCTGGCGAGGTCCAGAAGGAGGCTGAGACCTTGCTTGTCTGCCTTGAGGACAGGGTTATAGTTGAGGACCTTCAGGACTCCGGTGCTGAGGATACCGAGGAAGAACAAAGGATTGAGGAGACTAGGCACATTGATATACCCTCTTCCTATGCTACTGGATCCTTCAGGACTTTCCGGTCCGCTGAAATAGGGTTCGGATCTTCCCCCCTAGTGCACGTTCCTGCCCATGCTCGGGATATTATAGTGTCCCAGCACAGCTCTGCAATGAATTACTTCGGCGACCTCACCAACATGTCAGAGCTGTAGGGTTTGGACCATTGGTGCTACAACTGGGGCCTCCGAGCCATTTGTCAGAATTCCAGACCCCTTCATGGAAAACCTGAGGCTGCTAATGCGGGTAAACCTTTCGGCACTTTACCTTCTTCATTTATATTTCAGCTTTCTTCTTTTTCTTTTCTCTGTTTTTTTTTTTTTTTTTGAAGAATCAGCGAGTACGTTGTTCAGAAGTCTTGGACTTTGGGAGAAACATTCTCTTGATCCTTAGAATTCTTCTTCTGTTTTTTATTTATTTCAGTTGATCATTGCCCTACCTTTCGGCAGGCCGTTCATAACCACTTTATAGACGTGGAAATGAACGAGGAGTTGAAAGCTAAAGCAGGCAACGTCAAAGAACCTGAATGCCGAGCTCAGCTTGCTGAGCTAAAGAGCCAGAAAGCAGAAGAAGAATCTGCTGCATGCCGAGCTCAGATGGACGCAATGGCTACTAGCTTTCGCGACTTCTACCAGGAAATGGAACAGTCCATCTTCCCCTGGATAGACAAGGGTTAAGCCCTGATCCAGGAGTATATGGCTGTGGATATTCCTAGCTTCAAGGCTCGGATCGAGCGAAAGATGCAGAAGGAAGCTGAGGCTCAGCAGAAGCTGGCCAAGGACTTTAATGAGAGGGCTGCTCTGGCCGAGGCTGAAGCCAAGCAGAGGCAATCTGAACTGGAAGCTAAGATTCAGCAAATAAGGGGTCAGATGGAGGCTAAGGATGCAAAACTTTCTGAGGCTAGGCTTAAACTAGGAGGCAAAGATGCTGAACTTTCCAAGGCCCAGGCTGCTCTGAATGGCGTCCGGAGCCAGCTGGAAGTGCAGACTGAGGGGGCTGCTAGGGCTCAGGCTGATCTTAAGGCTGCCCAGAAGCTGTTGCAAGTCAGAATCTATACCTAAGATTAATACGACGAGGGTTTTGACAATGGCTTCCAGGTAGCTCGACGCTTGTCTTTTCATGCTGATCCGAGCATTAACTAGGATGCAGCTAAAGAGTGGTCGATGGATCCCAACCACCTGAATCTTCACATAGCCCATGATACTGAGGTTGCTTTCCTCACTCGTCAGGCTGAAGCCGAGGCTCGAGCTGAGAGGGAAGATGAAGAAGCCAAGAAGAAAAAGCCTCAACCTGCTTCCTCTTCAGCTGGTGCTAGGACTTCCAAGGGCCCAGCTGCTCAGCCTGATTCTGTTGATGTTGAAGTATAGGAATTCGGGCAGTCGTCCTCAGAGTCTTGCGGATCAACTTGCACTTAATTATTTATCTTTGTCGTATCTTCTTTGCCTTGATTTTTGCTTCAGCTTGCCTTGTACAAACTCTTATTTTTGCTTTGTCTTAAGTAGTTGTACCTAGTTCGGCAGCTGTGTTTTCCGCTTGTGGGCGGCTGCCGATGTAGAATTTTTTTGTTTTTAACTTTGAAACTCTTACTTTTTGATGTGCCTCGGAGATCCGAGCATCTTTGAACTATTAATGCACTGCTTTACCTTCATTTCCTATGCCTTGCTCTTTTTCTTACCTTGTCTTCTTGATTTTTGCAAAAATTTCCTAAGTACTAACCTTCGGCTCGGAATATATGCACTTACATAGATGCACTCGCCAAGGGTTCCAGTGATTTTTCAGCTCAGCTTCCAATGCTATGCACAGCTCTAAGCCAGCAATTGCTGCTTCATATTCAGCTTCATTATTTGAAGCATTGAATGAGAATTTCAGTGCATATTCAAAGGACTTGCCTTCGGGCGAGGTTATGACTACCCCTGCCCCCGAACCATTTACGGTGGAGGATCCATCCGTGAATACAGTCCAAATTTTCTTTTCCTCGTCCAATGTCTCTTGGTAAGAACACTCGGTGAGGAAGTCCGCTAGGGCTTGAGCCTTGATGGCTGTTCTCAGCTGGTTACTGATGCTGAACTCAGTGAGCTCAAAGGCCCACTTTGCTAGCCTACCAGATTTTTCAACTTTGTCGAGGAATTTTTCTAGCGGTTGATCAGTCAGGACCACTATTTGATGGCAGTCAAAATATGGCCTCAGCTTCCGAGCGGCTACCACTACTACATATGCAACTTTCTCGAGTAGGGGGTAGCAAGTCTCGGCATCCGTCAAAGTGTGACTGACGAAGTAGATCAGATGCTAAATTTTTTCTTCTTCCCTCAGCAAAACCGCGCTTATAGTGGTCGGGCTAACTGCCACATATGAGTACAAAGTTTCTCCTTCGGCTGGGCGTGCTAGCATCGGGAGTTGAGCCAGATGTTCACGGAGTTGCTTAAAGGCCTCTTTTTGCTCGTCTTCCCAGATGAGCTCTTTGGTTTTTGGGAGTTTCAGCGCTTTGAAGAAGGGTAACCCCTTGTCCAAGGCTCTGGAAATGAACCTGGACAGGGCAGTCATTCTCCCAGTGAGACGCTGAACGTCCCTCTTTGTTCTTAGCTCGGGAAGGTCGAGCATTGCCTGCACTTTGGCGGGATTGGCATCAATCCCCCTTTTACTCACCATGAAACCGAATAACTTGCCTGACTTCACGCCGAAAACACACTTCTTCGGATTCACCTTCATTTGGTGTTTTCTTAGGGCGGTGAAGGTCTCGGCCAGGTTCGCGACATGGTTTTTGTCCTCTTTACTTTTGACGATTGAATCGTTAACATAGACTTCCATATTGCGGCCTTTTTGCTCGGCGAAAACCTGGTCAACCAGCCTTTGATATGTTGCCCCCGCATTTTTCAATCCGAAGGGCATCATTTTGTAATTATACACCCTGGCGCTCGTAAAGAAGGCCGTTTTTGCTCGATCATTATGGTGCATGAAGATCTGATGATACCCCAAGAATGTGTCCATGAAACTAAGCAGAGCATGCCCACTTGTCGAGTCGATTAGCTGATCGATCCTCGGCAAGGGATAAAAGTCCTTCGGACAGGCCCTATTTAGATCCGTGAAGTCAACGCACATCCTCTAGGTGCCATTTGCCTTCTGAACCATCATCACACATTGGCCAACCATTCCGGATACTGACAGGGTTCAATAAAACCTGCATCCAGGAGTTTTTTAACTTCGGTTGCGATGTCTCGGTTCTTCTTTTCGGAGTAATTCCGCTTCTTTTGCTTAACCGGTCAACAGGTGGGGTCGACATTAAGCTTGTGGGCGATGAGGTTCGGGTCAATCCCGGGCATGTCTGTTGCCGAGAAAGAGAACACATCTTGGTTGTCCCGAATGAGTTGAATAAGCTCAACACGAACGTTCGGATGGAGTCCGAGCCTGATGTTGACACATTTTTCAGGGTCTCCTTCGGTCAACTCTATTGACTCAGTCTGCTGGTCCAGCTCCATTGCTTTGGCACTGGACTCTTCACAATCTAGCCTGCTGTAAATATCAGCAGGCTTCCCAAACCTCGGCTGGTGCTCTGAGTCTTTTGGCTCAGATGAGGAACCAGCTTTTTCTTTCCCCAAAGATTTTTGTTGGTTGGGGTGCCTTGGGCCGAAGCACTTAAGCCTGTAGGCTTCTTTGTGCATCGGTTCTTTTCTCTTTATTCCTCATCATACCTGTCGTCGCGGCGACCTTTGGATGGCTTGAGGTAGTTACATCTTCGGGACTCCTTTTGGCTGCCTTGAATTCTTTCGGAGCGTCCCTCGTCCGAGACATATATCATCATCTGATGGTACGTCGAGACGACTCCTTGGATCTCGTGAATTATAGGTCTCCCCATAATCCATTGTACACAGACGGAACGTCCACGACCAAAAACTCGGCCATGATATTCCGAGCTGCTCGGTCTTTGCCGATAGTGACAGGAAGAGAAATTTTCTCGTCAAGATATGTTGAAGAACCATTGAATCCAGATACCGGGTAGGGTACTAGAGTCAGGTGCTTGGTCTCCAACTTCAGCTGGTCGAATGCCTCCCGAAGGAGGATATTCGCACCACTTCCAGCGTCGACGAGAGTTCGCCAGACGTTGTGGTTCACGATGCCCGTAACGATTACCAGCAGGTCATCATGGGGGTATGCCACCCCCCGACAGTCTTCGGCTGTGAACGTGAAGTTCGGCACCGGAGACTGGTGTGCTCGGATGTCAGCATGATTTACTTGATGGGTCAAGCCCCTCAAGTGGCGTTTTAATGCTTTCCGAGAGTATGTTCCTACGGAAATGACAAGGATGTCAGGATTATCTTTGCCTTGCGGCTTGTCCTTTTTCCAGGTGAAATCCAATTCTTGCCGAGAATCTTTCTTGGCTCTTTTCTCTTTGCGGGGGACCATGAGATATTTTTTCAAGTAACCTTTTTGGACCATATCCTCGATCGATCCCTCAGCTGGATACAGTCCTCGGTGTGATGTCTAGAAGATTCATGGAATTCACACCATCGGTCCTGTTTAGGGTAAAATTACCCATGACAAATGGACCAATTCGGACCTGCCACGTGTCAACCACGTGGGCCAATCAGCGTCCGCCACTTGTCACCCTAAGAGGTCCAACATGGACTAATCATGTCACATCATGTGGCCCATTATCCGCCAACCTAGAAAACGACCATCGCAGGCCAAATTCCCGAGGCAAGCCCAATCAGTCCTAGGTTTTCCTAGAAAACCTAGTATTGGGCACGTACTTCGAGGCTATATAAACATGTCATTAGCCTCCATAAACAAGAGAATCATCTCACCTAGAGAAGTCTAAACACGTTGATCACTCCTCCCCTAGAGGAACCAGATCTCCCACCTTTACTTTCCGCATTTATTACTCCTCAAACAAGTACTAACTTGACCGTTGGAGGCGGAGCTCCCACCACAAGGAGTCTCCGTTGTTTTACAGGTACAGGCGCAAGGATAACAGTCCCGGAATTGTAACTCTCCCGCAGGACATCAAAAAACCCCGAAACATTTTGGCGCCGTCTGTGGGGAGAGTACTTTCGAGATAGTATCACATTCTGTACCGATTCTAAGTGAGAAGCGTCCCATGGACGACCCCCTGGTCCAGTCAGACCAGGATACCGACGAAGAATATGAAGTCGAGACTCACACGGCCCCTGACGGGTCCCTCAGAGCTCGACGCACCCGTCCCATTGAAAGGAAGGAACGGGGAGACTGCCTGGCTGAATCTAGTAAACCAGTCGGCCCGCCGCCTAATCATCAACAGGCGGCCGAGGGATCTTCCCCTATCACCAGGAATGAACTCATGACCCTCATGAGTAGTTTCAAGGGGGAGATCCAAGACTTGATCAACCAAAGGGCGCTTGTTCCTGCAAAGGAACACTCGGCCAAATCAAACCACTCCTAGTTGAAGTTACATGCGCCTCGCATGACACTCACTGGGTACAACCGGAAAAACACCAGCTTCTATGCATTCGGCCAAGCAGTCAAGTATTGCAAGCGTCGGATGACCGACTGTCCATAATTGGTGTTGCCAAATCATTATTATGATTTTGATATATATATATATATATATATATATATATATATATATATATATATATGTATATGTATATATATATGAATGGCATGTATATGTTGCTGGCAAACATTGCATCAATTTGCATGCACACTTATACACGTGCAATATACATACAAATGACATGCATATCACTTGCATAAGCTTGTATGAGTCGTCCCCCACTTATTTTTTTTTTTCAAAAAAAAAAAAAAAAAAAAGGGGGTTTTTAATATGCCGAATGGCTCGGAGTGCCGAGCATTATTGACAAAGAATTATTTGCTATGCATGAACATGCCATGTACACTAATTTGTTAATGACCTGGCAACACATGGCTACTTCCATACCAAGTTATTGACAACTAGCTTAAAGCATAAAATGGCCAGCTGGAGTATGACTATTTTTGTGAGTTATTCTTTACAGGGCACTACTTACATTCATAAGCATAAGGCGCTAAGCATTCGGCTCCTCGCTGTTGAAATCTTGCAAACAAGGTCTTAATGGCTCCTACTTCAAAACCAACAAGGTTTATCAAGAGAAGCAGCTGGCCTTTTATGAACCACTTTACCCAAGTATACATTATACAATATAGTATATACTATACAAATATCAAGCGGTATATAATACAAAGATACCATCCATGCTTGAAGCGGTTGTTAAGAAGCTGAGCATTGGAGCCCTTGCTAGAGTAGGCGGCACCTAAGTTTTCCCTCAAGAAAGAAAACGGCAGCCAGCCTAGTACCAGCCACGAAGCCGGCACAAGCATTTTAAAAATAGGCAACCAAATGCCGAGTTCGAGGCAATAAATTTTCAACTCCATGAAAACAGAGCACTCTTCGAATTTTGTTAAATAAAGCATAACAAGCAAGTCAGCCGGCCATCTCTACGCAACATTAGTTAGCTCTTGATAAAACATCCGGCACTCTCAACATTTGAGAGCAGGCGGCATTATAGAGTTAGTCGGCATTCGGTCAGCCAAACAGCCGGTGCTCGTCGAGGGTAGCCTTGAAAACCCGACTATATGTATTTAAAGCAAGAACGCCGTGAATAATTACACAATCACAAGTGCTCCTCAAGATTACAGCCGGCCATACCCAAAAAACCATTGTGCTCGGTTTACTTGAGGTTCAAAAACGGCCCCGGCATGCGAGCATCTATGATCTTTGCTATCGTGATAAGACCAGCCGGCTCTATATGATGTTTTATCATGGTACAGTCGCATGGTTTTGGCTCAAAATTATGGTACCAAGTATACTTGATGCAAATGAGTGTAGAAGAAACCGAGCCACAGTCCACTTGAGTGTAGAAGCGACTTAGCGTTCAAGCTTGATCATGCGGCACCTAGTGTCCAAGCAAAAGGAAATACCGCCTCTGACCACGCTAAGGTAAAGTAGGTGGAAACCAAGTAATCAAGAAGCTATGGGTGCTATGCTCTCCTTTGATATCAGTGACATTGGGTACAAATCAGAGCAAATCATTAAAACAGCCGGCTTAGTATCAAATGAAAATCAACGAGATCAGCCGGCTATTTTCAGCTAGGCGCCTAATCTTGGATCGTTGAACCATTGAAATCGTTCACAATACAAAGCCACCCAGCAGCCGGCAGTATCAAGTGGGAACAGCCGGTCTTATCTTGCGGCGGGCTCCATGTGCAAAGCTCAAACCCCGACAGCAAGCAACTCTAAAAGCCGAGTCGAATAAGTTCGTGTGAATGTACAAAGCAGGCGGCTAGGCGGCTGTATGTATGGGAAGCAAGGGCGTGAGTGTGTTATGCTTGGCTGAATAAGCAAGAATAGGCGCCACACGTGGCCATCACAAGCCCGGCTACTCGGCAATTAAAACAGCCAGCACTTGTTGAATGACCATCTGCTAACGTTCTTGCCAATTATTAGCAGCTGGAATTGGCACAAGAGCATTCGGTCTGCCATCTCTAAAACAATAAACCGGCATCGAAGTATCGTAGCTCAAGCTAGCAGGCGACACTTGCAACCAAAGCAGCCAGCCATGTTAAAAGAGGCGGCACATGAAACGCAACATAACAGCCGGCTGTGAGAACATAGTCCAAAGGCCATCGTCTACAGTCGTTTCAATAGAGCCATATGGTGCATGCTTGCGTAGACAGGCTTGCGTATTGAGGCCTAGCTACAATGCCAAGTCGGTTGGGTGAGTGGGAGATGCTTGCCACCCATGGACGCCCAAAACTTTCTTGTGAGAGTAATACCTATCCTTGGTCAGCCAATT